TCCCAAACACAAAATACAGTACACTTACGGATTACGGTAACGTCACAAGTGGTCCTTGCAGCTCCGTACGCGTTCTCTGCGACACATCTGTAGCCTCCGGCGTCTTGCCGAATTGACGATTCAATGACCAGCTCACATACGCCGTCAGGTGATTCCAACTGTAGGAAATCCAATTCAGTTATAAGCTTCCATGACCAACAATCAATAATCGATAAGATTAATCGATAACTGAAAGGTATACGCACCAGCTTCAGCCTTCCATACGGGAAGACTCGTTCGCCATCTTTGAACCATTTGATAGACAACTTTGGTTCACCACTGAATTTACAGCGAAGTCGGAATCCTTGTTTCTCAGGGATCTAAAACATTATCGATTTTTGGAGGAAATCAATATTCTGTCTGCAGGCTTCTCTCACCTTGACATTTTCGAGCGGATCGACAACTCTCGGGACTTTATTAGCGTCGAATTCATCACGTTCAGCTGATCGTTCTCGGTCACGAGGAGCTTTCTTGATGGTGGCGGTACCTTTGTCGTGGACAGTACCAGAGGGGTTAGTGGCAATTACTCGGTAAATTCCTGAATGTTGAAGATCAAAATGGGACTAAAAGGCTCCAAACAGAGGCCGACTTATAACTCTCTACCTTCATCATCCATACAACTCTGTGGAATAACGAGCCGGGCAGTACCATCCGGTTCCATGCTGAGCTGTATGCGATCCGATGGCTGGATCTGTAATCGAAGAGAATCAGCTACTTACTTAAAATGTGGGAGAATTCACGACTCACCTGAACGCCATCCTTGTTCCAAGTCAGTTCAGGCAGCGGTGAACCCTCCACCTTGCACTCCAATCGCAGCGGTTGTCCTTCCACGGCACGAGCATCACCAAGCTTGATTGTGAATCGCGGCGGGATGCTCTTTGATGGGACTTGCATAGAGAAACCATCTGAAGGTGTAGTATGGATTTTCAGTAGAGCAATTCCCAAAAAAAAACTGCAGGAAAATTATTAATAGTGAACTTTGAGGGAAAATATGAAAATAGCACACTTTACTTTCGCCCACCTTCAGAAAACGCGCTATTTTTCCCGAATTGAAAAGGGCCAACTTTGCCGAGATGTTTCGAAGAAATCGCAGTTCGCCTCAGTAAATCTGGCTCTTTCCTTGCGTCCGCGCACAGGCACAAAGCATCTGGTACTCAGCTCCCTCCTTATGAAATACCCCCTGTAGACCATTTTTACGCATCGGGATGGTCTGAGCATTGCCCCGCCCGCGCCCTGTGGCAAGTGCTGACATTCACGCCAAAAACATCGATATTGTGGGTGAAACTACTGTTTGGGCCTCTCTTCAGCAATCCCCGTACATTTTTCAATCCAGAAAAAAAAAACCCAGATCAGTTCAAAGGATCCGAAAAGGGCAGTAAATGATTTAATTATAAACGAACAAATTCTTACTATTGCTGACAACCCTGTATGAGATCTATGCAACTTTCATAGAAAAAAAAAACTGGTTATTATGCAGTGGCTATTCTGCGATCGTTACTATATCATAAAGAAATCTCGCAGAATGGTTACACTTCATGACGTCAAATACGAAAAGAACAGACAAAAAATAATATCTCTCTCCCCATCTACATCCAATAACATTCTTGAGTGAGCTCCCTGGAAGAATTGAGTATCAAAGACACAGCTTGGGAACCGACCAATGTCGGAACCGACCACCAATCACATGCGAATGAAGATATTGGTGGTGGAACCGGACTCATTGTGGCAACACCATCGAATGTGCCTCGTCCGTGCAACTGTGCGATTTATTCCGTAGTGGTAAATACCTCTAAAATTAAGCAAGTTAAAAATACTCAGGTCGTGCCTCAACATCCATGGCCTGTGATCATTAAACTTAGATCAAAACTCTATAATACAAGTTTTTTCAAGAGCCCCCGAGACCTCTACTAGAACGCTTTCAAGCCGATAACCCACCTTTGCCTCATCGATGTCCCATTCGTAACGTGAGTCTTCCCAAATTGGGCCACCATCCTTGGACCATTTCACCTGCGGCATCGGTTCTCCGGTGACCTTGCATTCGAGATCGATAACTCCACCGATGAGAACTGTCTGGTCTTCGAGAGGGATGATGAACCTTGGAGGTGATCCCATTTCGAGTTTCGGCATATCGCCTTTGCCAAGTGAGACTGAAAGGGTTGTATTGCATAAGCTGCCAGATTCAGAAGCTGTGATAACTCACCCTGGACATGTGCCGTAGCCTGGGTTTTCGCTTTTCCGTGCTTGTTCTCAGCTTCACATCTGTAGATACCTTCGTCACTCATCGTGCATTCCTTTACTGTCAAGGTGCAGCTGCCATCCGCAGACGTTTCGATCGTCGTCCTTGGAGAGTCACGTACCAGGATTCCGTTGCGGTACCTGGACAGAATTGGTTGATCAGAAGTTTTCTCAGACGATGAAAAAATTGACGAGGTGAAAACTGGTCAGGAAATGTGCATACCCAAAAACAACTAGCTAAGTGGATTTTCAACAAACTTGCTTACCATTTGATCTCCGGGAAGGGATCGCCTTGAACAGCGCATTTCAACGTGAATGATTCACCACGATCGGTCCAAATGTCAACAAGTCCTTTGGTAAAGAACGGCTCTTCTCCCTCTTTCTTTGCCTGAAGTGAATAGGTATCCATAAATCCCAATGTAGTCAAAATTTAGTCGAGTTACTACAACATCAACTGGAATCAGTTCTGCGGGATGTTTTTCAACCACAACAAACTAGCAGTAGAAGGCAACCAGCATGGTAGGGTAAACTATTTACTTCTAGAAACAACACCTGGATCTTTAGCGAAGAACGTTCGGGTCAAGCTGACAACCACAATGTGATTTCCTTGCACATATAGAAGCATTTTAGAATTTTTTTACTTCTTTGAGCCGAGTTAGCCTAATTTAGTAGTTGGCCGATTTCCGCCACGATCTCCCCCGGAAGGTGCCCATTAATCTTGACGTGCTAGCTTTCCTAAATAGCTGTTCCTCACAACTGGGCCGTATTCCATCCTTCCCCAGAAAGGGACGCGTCCCACAGCTCTGATTCTATCCATAAGGTTGTGGTAGACATGGTTGCGTCATAGGACCAGCCATACTCTGCGTTTCACAAATCCAGACAGTGCGATCCTTTGGAGAAAAGAGTGCCTCAACAGGAGAGGGTAGCTACAACAACATGCGTTGAATGGCGGGTTCTAGTAGCCCTCCCTCCCCTGACCTTAGGATAGAATCAGTGGAGGGGACGAGTCGCCCTGGGAAGGATAGGACGGTACGGCCCCTGTACTCCTTCCATTGATTTTTTGATTATGGGTTCTTAATGGCAATCCAAGTGACACTTCGGATGAGTTGACAGTATGATTTTTTACTTGCTGTTAGACAGACATCCTCAGGTAGCAACCTCTCCACAACCGAATACCCTGCATGGCAATCTGGGCTGTGTGCCCCTGTCCAGTCAAACGAATTCTTGGATTATATGACATCTGATCCTTTTTGTGTAACAGGAAGGGGTAAGTTAAGAATACGTGAGCCAGGGGATGTGAGAGCAATTAGGGAGGGGAGTGGTGTGGTGCGTAAGCTTCGTGTGGCAAAAGTTTGAGCATCAGTGTCTGGTGTCTTGCCTTGTGAAGGAGACACAGAGGAGCAAAAGGATTAAATGTCCCAACACCGAGTTCTTGCCCTTTTAGACAAAATGATGAAACACTGGAAGCATATGACAGACCTCAGCCTTTGGCACCTTGACTGTGACCATACAACCGGTGTTGATAGATCCATGTTCATTCGAGGCCACACATCGATAAGCGCCTTCATCACCTGGAATGATCAAGGTTCTATGATTCCTTCTTTATTTATTCAAATCATGCCGGAAGTGAAATAATATTAGCATTGGCTTCCAAGTAGCAAGTTGACAATAATTCAAGGAGACTGGCCAGACTCTTCAACAGCTGCTGATTTCCCGTGAGCAACTTTCCCGTCCTACAGTTGTGGTGATTAGCTGAAGCGACCACCTGGACGAAGTGGTAGAGCGTGTTTGACAGATGATTCTTAACCCCAGGAATTTATTCACCAAATATATTGTACCGGATATTGTTGGAGGTTTACTTGATTGGCTTCTCCAAAACTAGGAACTCTAAAAACTTCGGAACAAAATCTAAAGAGAGCGTGTCCAAAACTTACGCCGGCTTTTGGAATCGCATCAACAGTGCACGAAAGGTGAATGCTTTGTCCAAGATTCACAGTTCTGTCTTCGAGTCCTGGGTTGAATCGTGGAGCGTACTCGTTCTTTTCTACTACTTCCTCCTTTTCCATCACTGAAAATCTTCTTTTGTTCAAAAAATCACCAATATGTGGTTAAGATATGGGAACCACTGTAGCCTTAGGTAGCCTTGCCGTGAAGATCTTTGGGCCAACTATTAAGATTGTCCCAAGCAGAAAGCCTAGAGGACGACAATACCATCAAGAACTATTGAAAAATTTAAAAAAAATTAATCTGCAGAGCTAGCGCTCTAAACTATGCCCATTATCCTCGAACTGAGTCTACGAACTTAGTCTAATTAACACCTTGGAGCCCATGCAGCCCATATGTGGGCTGCAGTCTGTCAACCGTGTGGGACCTTACGACCCATATTTTGGAAACAAGTATTCAGTTTTTCTTTTGTTTTCTTCCATTTCATTCAATAAGATTTCTTCTGAATCATTCAATAGGTTTTTGTTTCCAATTTGCTTGATAAGATTCTAAAAAATTCACTGAAGTCCCAAGCGGCCGCAAAACGTAAAACATGCGCGTCTCCAACGTGTTAAACCGCAGCGTTCAGCTGTAGCTTTCAACGTCAGCGTTATCAAAATGGTGCAAAACTTCGTTTTCAAAACTTTCTGCATAACCCACCTTCAACAGAATACGTCGACCTAGTGTCGGCAACACCGAGTGGATTCTTGGCCACGCACAGATAGACACCGACGTCTTCCTTTCCGAATTTGGCGATTCGCACACGACAGGCTCCATCAGAGGTGTTTCGAATTTCGATGCCTTCACTAGCTTCCAGTTTACTCCTGAAGCAAGCACTATTTAGCGAAACCAAACGAAATAAAGATGAGCGATTCTGAGAGATAACTCACCATCCTTGAACCACTCGATTTCAGCCACGGGTTTCGCATCCACATGGCATTCGATGGCAAGAGGATCGTTGATCGGAATACGTCTATCCCAAAGAGGAACGTTGAACCGGGGTGGATAACGGTCGTCATCCTTATCACGACCAGCACGTGGACCTGGAAATGTTCACAAATTTATGATAGTCTACGATTTCTTATGATAACCACCTTCACGAAGCACTCTCCACGGTGATCCCGACATTCAGGGCCGCTTATTGCTGAGAAATCACTCAGATGGGAAAATACTGTTGCAAGCTATCAAGTGCAAGAAATGTTACCCCACGGACCCTATAGAAACCGCGACTTGCTTGGAAGATCCCTTCCCAATATTTTGCTTCTAAAGCGGATTCCTAAAGCTGCAGCATCGTGTTCGCGTCAGCATTTTGAGGTGTCTGCTTTAGCAGGGTACAGTTACATTCAGCTTTTCTCCTATGCCTTGACCAGCCCGTCCAAATGACATCTCCCTCTGTGAGTTTGCGGAGAAAAGGGGAAGCCTGCACAGGATC